GTGCTGGGTGCTGGCTGTGCACGTGTTGGAGCCAGGGTGCCGGTGCTTGTGGTGGTGCTGGGTGCTGGCAGTGCGCGTGGTGGAGACAGCGGGTGCCAGCGCTTGGTGCTGGGTGCAGTGCGTGTGGTGGAGACTGGGCGCCGGTGCTGGGTGCTGGCTGTGCAGTGCTGGAGACCGGGTGCCGGGTGCCGGGTGCTGGTGCTGGGTGCTGGGTACCTGGGTGCCGTGAGCTGGCGTGCCGGAGCTCGGTGCTGGTGCCCGCTTCTGACAGTGAAGTGATAACAACCGCCCCTTCTGACAGTGAAGGGCGACAAACCGCCGCTTGTAGCAGTGAAGGGCGACCAACCGCCGCTTCTGACAATGAAGTGCAAGCAGTCATGGGCCGCATGAACTTATGCACGCAACATCATACGGTGTTGTCGCTTGAGCGTTCTTTGTCTATTAGCGCTGTGGAGTATTTACACTCTTCAGACTCTTCAGGTTCTGTTTTGGTTGACAGCTGTGTCAAGGGCTGTATTGTTTGCGCGCATACTTTTGTACGTATAATGTTCTATCCGCAACGTCAGGTTCTCAACCATACGGCCTTATCGTTCTACAGATCGCTGCTTTCTGTTTGCGCGCATACTTTTGCGCGCGTAAACTTATATGCGCAAGATCATACGTTGTTACTCCCCAAATAGGGATAGCTATGGGGTTCTTACCGCAAATAAGAATGAGCTGCCTGCGCGCGCTTTGGAAAGGGTGTCGGTGGTGGTGCTGGTGTTGTGGTCCTGGGTGCTGGTGCTGTGAACTGGCTGAGCGCGCGTTTAAGACGGGCGGCGGCGCTGGTCGGGTGCTGGTGCCGGTGTTGTCAGATGGCAAAGTGCACCGGTGCTGGTGTCAGCTGGTTGCGCGCGCTGTGGAGGTGCCCCAAGCTGGCTGTGCACGCTGCGTACATTCTTGTTCCAGCTAGTCGCATGTCAACAGGTCGATTCTGCCTGGCTATCTGGGTCTATGCTGGTGTAATTTCAATGTAATATTAAAGTCGCGCCTGAGATGTAAAGGCCTTAGGTGTTGGATGTCATTCGTCGCCCCTGGGGGAATAGACAAGACTTTAGGACAACATGCTAATTGCCGAACTTCCTATAGTAGTGGTTGGGGAGAATCATTCGTCAGTTGAAGGGTTGGTGATATATTTGGAAGTTGGGGAGAACTTTCTTCTTTTCCACCATTCGCCATTTGTCCTTTATGCTAGTAGAAGCGCCTTTTCAATGCTTCCAAAAGACAGAATCAATGTCGGATGCTGCTGGATGCTGCGCAGGAGCCCTCATGTGCCCGGCCGAGGTGCTTCAGCCAGGAGCTCTGATGTTCAGCAAACCAAGAATAGTTGCACCGACCTGATCATAAGAGGAGGTGTGCAACCAACTGAGTAAAGGGCATTTTTCGAAGGCCCGCTAACGTGGCTTTCAGACATATAGCTTTCAAACTGGTCATCATATTGCAAATCAGTGTCATTGTTTATGCTTATGTAGACTTCTTAGCATGAGGTGGGACTAACGTATTCAGAGTGTTGAGCTTTGCTCAAAAGCAGCTTTCTTCCCTTGATGAAAGTGGACACTGAAGGATGCAAACATGCAAGAGGTTCACGGTGACTCTCTTGAAGCTGTAGGCCCAGTGACCCCCGGCACTGCAGCTCCTCAGTTGTTACACACTTACTTACTTTACTTACTTTACTTACTTACTTGTTTGCTTGCTTGCTTGCTTGCTCCCTTCCTTCCTTCCTTCCTTCCTTCCTTCTTTACTTACTTACTTACTTACTTACTTACCTTACCTTACCTTACCTTACCTGACCTTACCTTACCTTACCTTACCTTACCTTACCTTACCTTACCTACCTTACTTACCTTACTTACCTTACTTACCGTACTTATCTTACTTACTTTACTTACTTTACTTTACTTTATTTTACTTTACTTTACTTTACTCCACTTAACTAACTAACTAACTAACTTACTTACTTTCTTTCTTTCTTTACTTACTTTCTTTCTTTACTTTCTTTCTTTACTTACTTTCTTACTTACTTACTTACTGACTTACTTACTGACTTACTTACTTACTTACTTACTTGGCGTGCCAACGATGACGCCTTCAATGGCTTCATCAACAGTGAGCGCATCGACAAAAGCTATGACAAGCCCCACAAAGCCCACCAAAGCCACATCCTTTGGCACAAGGGCAACCGCATACACTGCAAATCATGCGGCGTACAGGCGCACCTCGATGGCAGTGACAACATTGTCCTCTCGACAAACCTCCGCAAACAATGCAAAGGAGCAGCAGTCAGAGGCTCTCTTGACATCAAGACAATGTTCCAGGCCAACAGCCAACAACAAGCGCCGAACCCTCCATCACCGATGAAGGAGGAAACGTCGTCACCACCGACAGAGGATCACCTCTCACCACTCCAGCCTCAGCAGCTGCAATTCCAGACTGGGCCTTCGGAGCGCAAGAAGATGACACTGACCGCAGCCATTGAAGGTCTCCACCGCAGATTGCCCTTTTTCTCCTTTGGCAAGACAAGGCCTTGCGCCGACGGCCATGAACCCCAGCCGCAACAAGGACATTGGCAAGACCTTGGATGAAACCCCGGAAGAAGAAGCCATGGAGATTGACCCTCCTGTTGAACCAACAGCACCAGAACATGAGACGGAAGGAGACGAAGACGACATCATGGCCGTAGAGTTCTTCTGAGATCCGCATCTCTTGAACTTGGCCCTCCGTGCCACCCTGAGGCAATAGGCCCAGCATACCGCCAACACGGCAACCGCAACCTGAACCTTTGGAAAGAAAATACATACATACATACACGCATCCATACATACATACATACATAAATACATACATACATACATACATACATACATACATACATACATACATACATACATACA